ATTTATCCCAGGGATGCAAGGATGGTTCAACATCCGTAAATCAATAAATGTAAGTCACTATATTAACAGAGTCAAGGACAAAATCCATATGATCATCTCAACAGATGCAGAAGAGGCATTTGACAAACTCCAACACCCATTCATGATAAAAACCCTAAAGAAAACTGGAATAAAAGGTCTTTATCTCAAGCTCATTAACGCTATCTATGAAAAACCAACAGCCAATATCATACTAAATGGTCAAAAACTGAAAACTTTCATGCTAAAATCAGGAACAAGACTAGGATGCCCACTATCACCACTCCTGTTCAATGTAGTTCTGGGAACATTAGCCACAGCAATTAGAAAAGATAAAGAATTAATAAAAGGAATAAAGGTAGGAAAGGAAGAAGTTAAACTGTCATTATTTGCCGACGATATGATACTTTACATAGAAGACCCAAAAACTCAGCCAAAAGACTTCTAGACTTAATTGACAGATTCAGTAAAGTAACTGGATACAAGGTCAATATTCAAAAAACAATAGCCTTCTTGTACACAAATAACAGACTCACTGAGAGAGAAATTAGGGAAATAATTCCTTTTACAATAGCATCCAAAAAAAATGAAATATCTAGGAACCAATCTAACAAGGAAGCAAAAAAACCACTACACTGAAAACTACAGCACTCTGCAAAAAGAGACTGAAGAGGATACAAGAAAATGGAAAGACATCCCTTGTTCCTGGGTAGGAGAAACCAATATAGTGAAAATGGCCACACTTCTAAAACTGGTTTATAGATTTAATGCAATGCTGATCAAAATTCCAACAATATATTTCACAGAACTAGAAAAAACAATACAAAAATTCATTTGGAACCAGAAGAAACCTAGAATAGCAAAAGCAATTCTAGGCAAGAGAGACATGGCAGGGGGTATCACAATCCCCAACTTGAAACTATACTACAAAACTACTGTGATAAAAATAGCATGGTACTGGTAAAGAAACAGACCCGACTATCAGTGGAATAGATTAGAAGATGCAGAAACAACTCCAGACATACATAGCCACCTCATCTTTGATAAAGGAGCCAACCA